GCGGCTGCCCGTTGAGCTCCCCGTCTTTCAGAGAGCGGCTGCGCTTGGGGGGCAGGGGGCCCTTGGGGACGGGGCAGGCGGGCTCCTGCTCCCCCTGAGGCGGTGGCGAGGGGGACAGGGGTGGCGTGTCCTCATCCTCCAGCGGCAAGGCTTCTTCAATCTCCAGGAGAAAGTGCTGGGAAGCGGAGTCACCGGACGGCGCGATGCTATCTTCCTCCTCGTCCTCGTCCTCGTCTTCTTCCTCCAACTCCTCTGCTGAGGAGTACAAGACCACCTCGGGCACCTCCAAGTCCATGTGCTGGTCGGCCTCTGCGTCCGTGGCAGAGGGGTCCTCATCTGTGCGAGGGGGTCAGCTGAGGTCAACTCCCTGGCAAGAGTCCCCCCCCCCCCCCCGTTCAGGAGCAGGTGGGGGAGCCAGAAAAGGGGCCAACAAAACAAGGGGGTGTGAATTATAGGGGGGGTCTAACAAAAGGACAGGTAGTGTGGAAAGAGGAGCGTTGCACAAGTGCTCACAGGCCAGCAGGAACCCTCCAAGGAACCGTGGGACAGGCAGGAGACACCCCCGGGCTATTACTGCACACTCACCCTGCGGAATTCACTGCCACAAGAACGAAGGTGTTTGGAGGGTAAGGCTTGAGTGTCTGCGAAAGAAGATGGGCCCCTGTGTGCCACCTTATCCACCCACCCACAAAGGGTACCTGGTTCAGGAGCTGCCACTGCCACCTCCTCTTCCTCTTCCTCTCCACCATCCAGGCAGTTGGCCAGTTCTGCTTCTATGTCAGACTCGGAGGAGTCTTCCTCCTCTTCTTCCTCCTCCTCCTCCTCTTCCTCCCACGATACCTTTTGTATACACATCTCCTCCAGGCCTGTGCTGTCCTAATGGAAAGGCGGTGGGCGGGGGGAGGTTTCCACTCGTCCCTTATTTCTCGGTGGCTTCAGAGCCTGACCCTTGGCCCAGCCCCACCGTTCTGGATCACGCAGGACCTGCGGCCAGAGGAGGCCCCCGGCACAGAACAGTGGACTTCGCCTTGCTAGGAAGGGGATTGTATCTCTGCCAGCCCTGTGAGGTGATCTGGATCAGGAAGCCAGCTTCGCAGGGAGACCTGGACTCTACTGAGATAGTTACAGAATCTTGCAAGCCTGATTGTGCCCCCCCCTGTGAGTCTGGGGAGAGCCAGCCTGATCCTCCTCTTAATAGGCTGGTTGTCTGTGCAGCCGTTTTGTGAGAGTGCCCCTAGCCCAAGAGGGCTGGGATACCGTGCCAGACCCAAGGCCCCTCCCTCCCTCCCTCTGCCCCGTGGCTTCCTATTTATTTGACTGAGTGCCCCAGCAGAGTGTCAGAGATGGGGTTGGTGAAAAGCCCACAAACAGGGAGCCCTCCGCGAGGCTCTGCTGCCCTGCAACTGCAAAGCCAACCCAAGCCAGCCAACCCTGGGGACGCCCCCAAAGGGGCTGGGGAGGATCCCATGGCACAGGGCTTTTGGGCCCCAATTACCTCTCTGGCAGCTGCCCCCGAGATGGATTCCTTGGGGGAGGCCGGCTCCCCCTCCACAGCTCCAGCAGCTCCGCCGGGGCCGGTGCACATCCCTCTGCCGTCCCGTCTGGGCCGCCTCCCCTCCTGCTGGCCCTCCTCCTCGCTCCTGTCCTGGAGCTGGACGAACCGCGAGATCACTTGCTCCAGCCGCTGCACTGCCAGCTCCTGGTTATGCTGCAGTCGCCGAGCCAGCTCTCCGTCCGCCAGCGCTGGGTCAGAGTCTGCCCGGGCAGGAGAAAGCCAGAGGCTGAGGGGAGTGCACCTGGCCCCCCTTGGCCGACGCGCTCCCACTCCCCTGACGGTGGGTGGGTGGTCAAAGGCCAGCTGCTGCAAGGCCCCCTGGGAAGACCCCTCTCCAGATTCTCTTGAGCCCAGGGGACGCTGGCCCGGTCCCCTGCTGCCCCACGTAGCGGAAGTTCTTCCCCCCCGCCCAGAGCGGGGGCCAGAAAGTTCGCCCTCCGCCTTCCTCGCAAACCATGCAGGCAGCCCTCAGAGAGGCTTGTGCCCGAGCAGCTCCCAGCAAAGGCAGGAAAGCTGGGCAGCGATGGTGGGGCTGGACAGACAAGCCCTTCCCCTGCCTGCTCCCTGCCTCAGGGCTAACGTTCATCCCGGCCTCACCCCACCCCCCTTTTCCTGAAAGCCAAGGAACTTTGGTGGGGCACAGCTGGGAACCTCCTCCCCACTTTTATGGGAATAGCTGGAAAGCCCCACCCAGAATTCTTTCCAGAAGCACCCAGGGGATCCGCAGCCCCAACCCTCCCTCTCCTGCAGGGCAGTGGCAGCCCACCTTTCCTCCTGGCCAGCCAAAAGCGTTCCAGCTCGCTCGTCTGTGTTACAAGCTACAGAACAAGCTGCAGCAGAGCAGCTTCGAGTGGGGAGAGAGGAAGCAGCAGGAGAAACACAGGCACTGAGAAATATCCCCCAGCCCCGGAGAATGACCAAGATGGGGCAAGAATGGTTTAAGTGATGGGGGGGGCGGGTTTGCAGGCTCCCTGGTCCCAAGCTCTGTGGGGCGGGGATCCACGTGCCTGGGACTGAAAGGACAGCCAAGGACAGCATGCCCACCTCCGTGCAAAGGCTGAGCTTGGCCACTCTTCCCCTGAATGTGCCTGACGCGCAAATCCAACCCCTTTGCCTAGTCTTGGGTTCAACAGAGCAGGTGGGCCTGGAAAACAGGTTTATGCAGGACCCAGATTAGCATCCAGTGGGAGTCTAGTCTGCTTCCTTCCTGATAGCCAGTAGAAGAGGAGCGGTCTGTTAATCGTTTGGGTCCCCAAACTGGTGGCAACTAGAGGTGGCCTTAAGCAAGACTCGATTTGTGTTGTAAGGCACCAAAATTGGCCTTCCTGGTTGAATTTGGGGATGACAATAGGGTTATTTCGAGCCAGCACCTCCCCTTTGTGGAGCCAGGGGCCACTGAAGAGCTGCTGCCTTGGGCCCTGGGCGACCATTCCACCCCCCTCAGCACTCACTAGGCCGATACTGATCGGTGAGGTGGCTGCCAAAGTTATAGATCAGGTCGCGGCGACGCCGGTCCTGCAGACAGGCACCCACATCGCGGAAGGCGTCGGTTGCCATGATTTCCATCTGGCGCTTGGGCAGGCCCAGGCTGTGACGGGCACTGGCCTTTTGCACCACCTTGAGGATGTCGGCGAAGTTTGGGAAGGCCTCTGGCCGGTTGATGAGCCGCTCAATGCGGCGGTTGACCTCAGGGTAGCGCGTCCCACGGTAGGGGATGTGCTGCTCGATGACCCGGCCCGTCAGGCTGTTGCAGCCCTTCAGCTGACAGAGGAGCTTGAAGACACGCATCAGGCGCCGCTTGAGGCGGCTCTCCTGCAGGTAGGCGGAGTCCCTGCTGTCCAGCTCCGCCAAGTCCAGCTCCTGCTCCTGCAGCCGCCGGATCTCATCTGCGTAAACCCGCAGCAGGTTCTCCAGGTGGCGGATCTGCCGCTTGGAGCCCACGCGGGGCTTGGCGGGCTCAGGTGGCGTCTCAGAGACAGGAGCGGCCACGTCCCTTTTCTTCTGAGAGTGGGCCCGGAAGGTGGTACACAATTCGTTAATGTAGACGTAGATTTTGGTTCTCCTGGCTTGCACCCGCGTCAGGCAGTGGCTCAGGACATTGCGGAACTCCACAGAGGCCAGGTACTCCGGGTTGGTCTTCTGGTGCCGGCCAGACAGGTAGGAGATGACCTCAGGGTGATCCCCGGTGTGCTTGGAGCAGAAGGCCACGAACTGCAAGGGGAAGGGAGGACAGGAGGAGCATTGCCTGAGGAACATGCAGGACGGGCAGCTTGACCTGTCTACAACTTCCCCCGGGGAAGAAAGTGGGAGCTGAAGGAAGACACCCAGGTTGTTGAGCTGGAAGGTGACATCCCCACAGAAATCTATGGGCGAGTCCCACAGTCCCTAAACTCTGGGAGGAGAATCTTTCACAGAGGTGGACTGATGTCCACAAAAGCCTCTGGCCCCTTCGTAGGGAAGGTCAACCTGCAGTTGAAGAGAGGCCAAGTCAAAATCTAACAAGGAGAAATTTGGAGGAATCCAATAGAAGAGAATCTCTGTAGCTCGGGGTTGAACTGTGGAGTCTTTGGTGCTCTCTGAGCGTGGTGGTTTGATTGCAGATGTTTTGTTACCTGACTAGCTAACCCTACTTATATACAGCAGCTTGCCCTGCCAGTGTTGGTGGGGGTGCGGTTTTCTCCTTGGATACCCACCCAACTTTATCAAGAAAGTGCCTGACCACTCAACCCACTACAGCACAACCAACCCAAGCTACAAAAAATATAACACGTCCATACATCAGAAACTTCTCAGAAACAGCCAACAGACTATTATAACCGCAGGGCATCTCAGCAGCACACAAACCAACTGAAGCCCTCCAAGGCATCTTAAGCAAACCAAAAGACCCAGTAGCCCAAGAAGAAAAAACAGGAGTCATCTCCAACATACAGTGCAAGGACCGTAATGGCCACTACATAGGACACAGGCAGAAGGCTGACAGAGCACATCCATGAGCACCAACCAGCAGTCACGTTTCTTCTGACACGATGAAAACTCCTTAATCTCACCACACGTGGACAGACTCAACCATATTTTCAACTGGGAAACTGTCAGCATCTTAGACCAAGCTAAATCCAAAAACCTGAGAGAAGCCCTGGAAGCTTGGTATTCAGACAAGTCAGCCATCAACAGGCACATAGAGATAAACAACATTTACACACCTAAAAACCTAAGAAAGCTCAAAAAGACCAGAACACGTCCTCTCCAGCAGCCAACACCCAGATAAGCAGGGAT